AAACGTGTAGTTAAACTGCTTTGCACTGACAGAAACAGAAGTTTCACTGGTTCGGCCCACTTAATATCAAAGTAAACGATGTAAAATGGACATCCCTGTTGTAGAGAGCTGAACTGAAGAAATCTATTATGTGAACTCTCTACTCTACTGGGAGCAAATGACTGTTATTTACCTTTAAATTCACAGTTATGGGCATAGAACTTAATAGAACCACAGCGAGTGTGTTTTATACTTTTAAGAGTGAAGTTATGAAAATTCCTTAACTCTACGGTAAGATGCAAAAGTTCTGAATCACCCCTCGTTGCTTTGTTTTGTTAGGAAAAATGGGACAATTCAATAAATGACTGCACCGAAGTGGAAACATGCATGGAAATACCGTATGTGAGGCAAAAATAGTCTGGAAGGTTGAAATTCAGTCTGTAGTTTGACCACCTTTGTTCTTCAACAGTGTGAAGCCTCTTTGGCTTTCTTTGAATCACCTTTTAGGGCAAAACACTTATAGCTGTCAAACTGTCATCTTAAAATTCAAACAGTTTGTTTTTGCATAAGACTGGTGGCAACAAAGTGCTCAAAGATACACTTTAAAACTGATTATTTGCCAAGTTGTCTGTTATGTGTAGACAACTGTGTCTTCAGTTAGGGGCCTTTTGTATGCTTGAATGATTCATAGGTCAGTGTTAAGTGGCATAACAAAACAAAAAATAATATTCCTCTGAAAATGGTCAGGGACAAGACTGAAAAAGCATCCGATGCCTAAAGAAAAAATTTGAAAAACCCTTAGATCAGCTGTAGAAACTGTTCGAGACCACTTTAAAAATTACAATAAAGTCTGGCTCCTTAGAAATAAAATAAGCATCAAGCACCTCGTTCATGTACTTTCCTAATATCAAACCACGCCTGAGCCAGTGACAGCGTCTATACAGCATCTCACCTGGGCTAAAGACAACAAGAACTGTTCAGTTAGCACATTTTCTCTTGGAAAATAAAGGCGAGGCTCAGAATCCGGGCGTCTGAAGTCCAGTGAACGTTTTCCAGTCTGATGATTTGAGGTGTCATGCCATCTGCTTGTGTTGGCGCTTGCTGCGTTTTACCAAGTCCAAAGTCAACACAGCGTATGACAATATTTTAGAGCACTTTATGGTGATGCTAAATTCCTTTTTTGCAGGACACAGCACCTGCCTGCAGTGCTAAAACCACCACCAAATGGTTTGCTGACCATCTTGTTACTGTACTTGATTGGCCAGCTCACACACCTGACTCAAACCCCACAGAGAGGAGGATAAGAAAAATCTAACTTTGGTTCAGCAACACCTCCGCAGTGGCACACGCTGATCATATCCACTGCATCAATTTGGGGTAACTCACGGTAAATGAGGCTGAACCACATACTGAATGTATATATTTATATGCATTTCACAAGTTGGGATTTCCATACTTCAAAACCCATTTTAGGACGTCTTAATCTCAGATTTAAAAGGCGCTAAAAGTAAAAAAATTAATATGTGCGCTGCGTTATCAAAATAGTTTTGTGAAAAGTAGTGTGCGATTACCTTCAAGAGTCAAAATGATTTGTTACCCAGTCACTTGAGCACTTGTTTGTTAATATCCATTTTCACTAAACAGTATCCTACCTCAAGACTGCAGAGAGAGGTCGCTGCTTTCCAAAGGGCAGCAGTATTTATACAACAAATCATTTTCCAATCCATGTGGATAAAATGCATTCAGAAATTACAAGACCTTAAATGGTGGAATCTTCAAGTCACTATTTAAAAAACAAAACAAAAAAAACAAAACAAAACTTGAGAATAAAAGTACAGGGATGCAAGAAGAGAGTATAGGAACATATTTTATTCCAATTTAAAACATTTAAAGGAGAAGGCTATGTAAAAATCATCATGTATGAATGAGGTTCAGGCAACAGTGGTTGAAATGAAACATACAAATAGAGAAATATGGCTAAAATACTGTAAATCAATAACCATTAGGACCCTTTTCTCGAGGGCGTTGCATGAATAGAGTATCTCACCCCCCACTCCCTCCCCCAACCTGACAAAACGCATGCAGTTAAAATGACACTTATTTTTAAAAACAGCAGTTCATCATTAATCTTAAATATAGAATAAAACTGTCCTTTTTGCTAATTAATCACACACTTAGTGTTTGCTTTAAAAACTGGACCACGAAATCCACAGGTCCTCTGAATTTTTTCCACAACATTGGCACTTGTTAAGAGTCTGGCTTTACAAAGAAAAGGGGATTGGCACACTCATTGTACAGAATTTACATTTGGTATACTTTAAAACAAACAAACAAAAAAAAAAAATACATTACTTTCAATTTGTACACCACTACACAAAATTTTAATTGTCTGAAAAGAAAAATCATGTCAAGTGGTCCTAAATACGGTGTGTCAACCTTACAAAAGGGGAGAGGAAAAAAAAGATGCAAAGAGCTTTTTAATATCATTATATCCATCCCTGAAACCAGAATGGACCTCAAGCATAAGCAACACCCATCAAAGTGTTCTCTCACACTCTCTCTCTGACACTGACACACACACACACACACACACACACACACACACACACACACACAGAGGCTAAGCACCTGGTGCCCATGGATCCCAACGGCCTGTCAGACCCCTACGTCAAGCTCAAGCTGATTCCCGATCCCAAGAGTGAGAGCAAGCAGAAGACAAAGACCATCAAATGCTCCCTCAACCCCACGTGGAACGAGACCTTCACTTTGTGAGACACCTTTTTGTTGAACATAACTTGCCTTTTGATTAAAGTTACTCACTTGGCCTCGTTTTGAGTCGCGTATGCGCAAAGCTAACTGGAGCTCGTGCAAGTGACCCAGTCCTCTCTCCTCCTCCTGTTTGTGCTCGTTGTTTTTCGAGCTATTCTCGGATAGGAAAGGTATGAAAAACTGTGATTTGCTGCATTGTTTTTAAGTTTGTACAGAGAGAGATGAGAGGACTGTGATCTCAGGTTTTCATTTTTAGCTATATTAGGAACGCGCTTTATCTTCCGTTTCACTGTCCTCCATTTTTTT